CAATCATGCCACTGCTGTTAAATGTCGATCCTGCACATCTGATGATCGCTGCTTGTCCAGCTTTTGACAAGTTGTCGCCGACTCCCCGTATCTATCGTGCATTCAGTAGCAGTCTTATGCTGTAATTATCTATCTGAATTGCGGATCATGGGGTAGAAGAGTAGTGAGCTCCGTACGTCGAAGTATCTGTAGACACCAGCGCTGGACTGTCATAGCATGAAGCAATCAACAGCGTGACAGACGACTACATACGCAGGACCTACCCCTCAACTCATGCGCGTGCTGCCATGCATCGCATCATCTTGCATCAGAATACGGGATATGACGGCAAATAGAGAATGAAAGGCGTCAAGCATGCATCCGTCTAGTCTCTTGCATGCTTGGCAATACGGTCTCTAGAGTTCCCAATCTTCAAGGAGAAATCACATTATCTACAGAGCCAGGAAATCCAATATACATGAAATAAGCTAATGCGAGTATTCAAATGCTCAGGAGGCCGCCAATGCGAGATATGCAATGCCCAATTGCTTCATTCAAGTACACCTTACATATCAAAAGTGTATAGCGATCAAGCTGCCATCGTCAAGACATACCTAAACATAGCCGATTAGTTATTGTTGGCAGGTCATGTTGTAAAGCCAAGGTACTTACGATGTGATGCTATCCATTCTCTCACTCGTCAATTTCAAGCTCACCGTCAACAGTTCCTGCGCGATCTCGGGCTCTTCCTCCTTCAACTGCTGCCATTTGTCGGCATTCAGACACCAGGCCACGCAATCCTGTTCCGCCTTGACCGTCGCAGTCCGTCGGGTTTCGCTGAAGAACGGCAGCTCGCCACACGGCCGTCCCGCGACGATCAGTTCGAAATAATGGCCCTGAGGCAGCTCATATTCCGCTCGGAGCATCCCTGACTCGAGCAGGTAGAATCCCTGGGGTAGGTCGCCCTCTCGGAACAGCACGGTACCCGCAGCATAGCAGACTCGAGCAAAATATGGGCATGCCCTGAACCAGAAATCCTCGTTCTTGGTGGTAAGCCCCTGGAAAGTCTGCAGGAGCAAAGGGAGCGGTTGTCGCATCGCCGACCATGCAACTGAGGCCATTGCTGCCGTCTCGTCCTCGCGCAGAGTAGTCGTGGCAGCTTGCTGGAGGTACAGCCGGCGGGGAGAGCCAACGATCCCTTCAGCGGCCTGCATTTGGTTCTGGGACACAGGAACTTCAAGATGTGGCGACGACCCGCTCTTCTTCCGTATCAATGCCTCGCGATGGCTGTAAAAGACCTTGAGGTAATCGTTCTCGCAGAATTCAAGGGCCGAATTGAGGTCCTTGAAAATCTCAACGCCGCCCTCGCTTGCAAGAAGCCCAACGTTCTGAAGGCTCCTCCCCACCTCACTCGTCATATCAAGCCCGGATATAGTCATCTGCACGTTGCGTCTCCGGAGAATCCGGTTTATACGCGTGAAGGCCTCTGCCGCGGAAAAGTCCAGCCCGTACACTCGCGAGAAATCCAGGATGAGGAACCGGATAGGTCGTCTGTTGAATGCTTCCTCTTCAATGAGTCCGCGCATGGTACTCTCAACGCTGACTATCGTCCCAAAGAACAGATAGCCAGCGAGCTTGATGATGAGTGTCTGGTGCCCTGCCTCTTTTAAGAATCGCTGTTGGATGGGAGGTCTCCTGACAGTCGAGCCCGTTATCTTGCCAGAAAAGGTAGCCCGAACAGCTGATTTTCGTGACGTTTGCACCACAAAACTCACGCATGCCAAGATAATTCCGACCAAGATGCCAACCACAAAGTCCCAAGCACCCATGGTGACGACGATAATGACGACCTGTACGAATCAGAGTGCGGCTCACTGACAAGTTAGGACTTACTTACTGTTAAGTATTCGAATCGGTGCAATTTCCCCCACGTGTCGATCAAAGCCTCTTCCATAAGCTCAATGCCCAGCATGAAGATCAGAGCTCCGACGACCATGACAGGAATAAATCCAATAATCACGGGACCAACAACAAGAACGCCCATTGTAGCAAAGGCAAGTAAGATACCTGCCAGTCGGGAATTGCCACCGCTGGCAATGAAGAGAAGACTGTTAGTGTATACTAGGTAGTTCTAGAATTGCATGAGCATATGTAACGAACGATGTCCCTCGAGGATGGCTCAACCATACCTGTATGCTTCCTGCGAAACCTGACAGTGCATTAGTAATGCCATGAGCGATGAGCTCACGATCAACGTTTAGATTGTCCTCCCCAGTTGATATACCCAGTGCCGGTACATTGATTGGGACGTGAAGAACTCCGAAGAACGTCAATGCAAACATCGCTGGAATCGTATCAACGAATGCGGACCAGTCGACGGCCGAGAAATCTGTAAAGAAGGTTAAGTCACGTTCGATTGGATAGCCTGAAGAGATACCCACCGTAGAGCGTATAAAAGTGATACCAAGGGTTGGAAGACGATGGAGCGTCAAAGACCCATCCTCTGCTACGCAAGGTATCCATAGACACTCTCGCGCTGAATTTGACGACATAAAAAACCATGGTCACCGCAATGAAATAACCGCCGACCAGGTAATTGGACCGCACAAAGCGCTTCAAAACAAGAAAAGCAATCGCAAGTAACAAGGGTATCATCCAAAGCAGCAATGTATCCATATGAAAAAGCTTCTGCAAGGTCGGTGCGTTAAGCTCGAGAGAGCCGGATAGTCGCGCAGATACCTCGACCCCGGTTTGCATCAGAAAGAATCCTACACCACCAATGCATCCAATCAAAATATGACGCGGGAAGAAGCCAATGAGAGAACCAAGCTTGCACGTTCCCATCAAGAAAAAGACAAGCCCCGTAAGAATTGAACTGGCGGAGAATGAGAGGATGGTTGTTGCCAGGACCGATTTCGGATTGTCTTCACCAACCCGAGCTAGAATTGTCATGGCCATTTTGTGGAAGAAGGGAACGACCTCGATCATTTCACTCCCGATACCACCACGAAATATTGACCCTCCGCATGAAAAGACCAGTTGAGCAATGACTGTGCTGACATAAAACATCGAGATTCCGTCTGACCCCAGCTCAGAGAAGATAGGCTCTCCCAGTGGAAACAGGATCATCCCGTAGGAGAGCGCATCGAGGATATTCAACAGTAGGCCGAGGAACACCGAAGGTAGCAGGCTGACGGGATAAACCACCCCCTGCTGCCATACTGCTCGCCGGTCCCAGGACTTTGGGCTTGCTATCAGACGAAGACAGCTTCTGATTGTCGTTAGGGCATGAGGTTGTGTGCCCGACTCGCGCTCTCTCAGTAAGTCCTGGCTTTCAATATCGTCTGTAACCCCGTATCCATGGAACGGTTTAGATTGCCCTGTCTTATTCAGCAACGATGTCCGTTCGGTACTTGTGTTCTCTTCCTCGTCATTATCAAATGAGAGCCTTGGGTTTTCCACACCAGCCGCGCCGCTTGGGCCCAGGTTACCTCCATAGTGGTCGGTTTCATCCCCGAACGACCCAGAAGGGGGACTGCGTATCATCTGGGTCAATACCGAGGAGCCGGTAACAGGAGCGGGGATCGGCTCCGGGTCAACAATGGTTAGCTCCCCCGCAGTGCTGGAGTAGCTTGACGAAGTTGGGGCGACTTCAGTCCTTTGTTTCGAATGAAAGATATCCAAGCTTCGCGGAAGAGAGCTCAGTTTGTGAGGAAGCGACAGCGCAAACGATGCTAATTCAGCTGTTTGTTCTCTCAGACCCTCGGATGAATAGTGTGCCGGATCTAGACCGCCAGTTAGGACATTGAACCCCTCACAGAATTTCCTATTATCGTACCCTGAGGACCTTTGAAGGACCGATGGTAGAATGACCGAGTCGGAGTCCTGAAGCTCGACCCGCCGTGGATAGAAGGCTCGAGTCCTGAAGTATCCGGAGTACTGCCATAATTGGCCCGCTCGATCGGTATTTCTGTCATACTTGGAGCAGGAGTGTTGATTAAAGATGGGCGACGGGCTAAAAATCCTGACGCACGAGAATCACTGCGGTCTCGACGTCCCATGACGCCCATCGCAACCCCGAGCCGTTACTGCCTGCGCCACACACAATCCCTTTATAGAGATGAAGAGTGAGGGGATAAATTGAGAGCAAGAAGCCTAGGCTTCTTTCTCGGTGTCCGTGCCGCACCCCAACGGCCGCAGACGAGGAAATTGGGCGGGATCCCGGATGACGCAAGAGTCAAGGAACGAGGAGCAATTGGCGTCCTATGGTTACCACACAATTTGAGAGGAAGAAGGCCTGCAAAAACCCGATGCATCAGAGGGGGTGAGGATGATGGCGGATTGAAAGCGAACATGTATCATTGGGATGAGTTATCCATATCAAAGCTCCAAGTCCAGAAGCTTGTCGGCGTTATCAATCCTGGTCCGTGGGTTGACTAAAAGAGTCTTTATCACCGGCCGTTATCAATGTCGCCGCCGGGGCGCTTTACCGGATTCTGGCAACTGTGGATCAGGAACTACTCATAGTTCCTGGAATTGATTACCGCACGGATAAAATCGTTATTATTATTGAGTAATCGCCTCGTGAAGCTGTGGAGGCAAGAGTTGAAACTTGAAAGTTGGGCAGAAACAAATTCTGAATTGATGATGTACTCCGTAGTACGGAGTTATGATCGTCGTGGTTGATCAGTGCGCAAGGACGGAATATGCATGCATGCTTAGTCTGTGTCTTTGCTTCTTTGGACATACCAGCAGACCACAATTGCAGTACTCAGTTAGTAGCTTCCGTCGGCTATAGAATGTGACAGCAATCACTGTTCTCGAATGCCAATATGATTAAAATCGATCTACTGGCGTGATCATTTGGATCACGGAATCATATCGAAAGCCTCGTACTCCGCATATGGGAATACCTCTACAGACTATACGACAATCCTTAGAGAGAAAGTTCAAAGCGCCGTATATACAATGGGTATCATCAAGTCGTCAAGCCACTAGTTTTCATCATCGTCCAGATTCCATCAACTCAGTCGCTCCAGGAACCCTTGCGCGATCAGCCGTTCCACATCGCCCTGTCGAACGTAGAGTTGACTGTTTTTTGTCAAATTGATAACCCTGTAAACGCACAAATTAGCTGCTGCTCTCGATGAATGAAAAGAATTGACCAGCCAAACGGACAACACAAGCACAACATACCCATACTCCGTCTGAATCTCCCCTGCATCCTTCAAAACCCGCACATCAATAAACAGATCCCTCGGTGGCTCCAAACTTCCCGTCAAATCAATGTCCGTCCACTGCCCCTTATACGCCGCCAGCATATCACTATACTGCCGGAAATACTCCTCCTCCTCGGGACTCAACGAGCTATGGTTCCCCGCCTGCGAACTCACCACCCCATGTGCCGCCGCCCCTTCCTCTGCATTCGGCTGCTCCTGCTCCAGCACATCAACCCCATTCCAGCAGAGCTCCTCGAGCTTCTCCGTGCGCACGCGATGATACGCAAGGAGACAGCGCTTGTTGCGGCGCGTGCAGATGTGGTCGACTAGCAGGGCGCAGGCGGTTGCCGGGTCTGCGGAGGGGTTGAAGCTGCCGCCGAAGGGTTCGAGGAGACGGGCGACATCGCGGTCGAGATCGCGGACTTCGCGGGCGACGGTGCGCACTAGTTCGGTCTGGTAGGGGGGGAGGTGGACGAGGGATTGGGTGCGTTTGGCGTGTTGGACCTGTGAGGGCTGTTAGCGGCGGGATGGCTTGGGGAGTAGGACGCGGCGGACCAGTTTGTTTCCCAGTTCGCCGTACATGGTCGTGTGTTCAGAACAAGGATGGCTGGTGGATGGATGAAAGAGATGTCGGAATCCTAGTTGCAACTTGCTGCTGTATATTGTTGCCTCTGATGATCGCGACTGGACGCGTGTGTCAATGATCGCCCCGATAAGTTTATTCTGCCGGGTTGAGACAATTCCGAGCGTGCCAAGCCTCGCGAAGGCGGTCGTTTCATAGGAACCTACGAAGTAGATAGCGATAGTGTATAATTACTCTGTCATTGGGACTAATCATTCTTGCATATGGACTGTTGTAGTATTTTGCACAAAATTATCACCATCTGCGGACAGACCAAGATGATCGGCTCGTCACAGAGAGGGTATGCCTTATATCACACAATCGAGGAGAGACAACAAAGCAGGAGAGCTCAGTAAAACCAATAATGCGGAAGACTCGATGCCAGAATGCATTGACTCAAAGTCTCAACGAAAGGAATATCCGACCTAATGTATCAGCCACATTATTCACCCGTAGTTCGATTCCTCGTTCAAACAGCCTCGTTGACGACTTGTGCATGTTCAGTGTTGCAAGGAGAACATACTGAATGCGCTGATGAGGTAGACTTGAATAGTGCAAATCTGGCTACGAATAAGTGGTGCGGTAGCCATCGAGGATCTGAGTAGAGAAGATGCTTCTTACCGATTGACTTCCGAAAGCACTATGGGTTCAATCCATGGGTTGGTTCACGATCCAACGGACCAACAGCCGTCTGGTCAAGCAAACCCCGGCGGAGAAGATACTGGTTATCGAAATATTGGTTATCCTTGGACAAGGTAGTGGCAGTGCAGAGCAAAGGAGATGTCCACAAAGAGGAGAGCCGAGCAGAAAATAATGATTTGCGCCATTCAGTCTAATATTGTGTCAAAGCCCAAGATACCAACAACATAAATAGCAGAGATACTTCCATAGAATATCAAAGGAGATTACCACCCAGAAAATGATCAAGTCCAACAGACCGAAGAAAGATGTCACACAGACCACCAAAGAGACAGGAGCACCAGGGGACCTGAAGAAAGCAGGGTATCACACAGTCCCACCATACTTGACTCCGCGCCTGTACAACTCCGACCCTGAGGTTTTCTTCTAAATTACAAAAGGCCGGCCCAATGACAGAAAGAAATCACAAAACAAACATCAGTATTCATGTCATGAGGCTCATCGTGTCGTCGCAAAAAGACAGGGACACCAAAGGAAGCTGCCTTGATTAGTGTCACATAGTCGATTAAGGATATCCAGATGCTTGAGAGTTGATCCAGTGTTCGAATTCGCCATTGGAAGCATCGAAACTGGTCTCGTTGTTGGCAGAATCCCAAGTATCGCGGCTATCCCCTAGAGGCTGCATGCCTTGGTGATAGGTGGCGCCGACATGGTATGTGGTTGGCAGCGGAGAGGGAACAGGGACATAGCAGTTGCTCGTCGGGACTTCTTGCCAGATTGCATAGTGTGAGTGGTTGAACATCGAATGCTCACTAGAGTGGTCACTTAATGACAGCAACTGAGGATCCAGCTGCCCAACGGGCCCAGTTCCAGGGGTGTTCTGGGGCTGAAGAAGGTCGTGGTGGGCGGCTCCAGGCAGCCCGGCCAGCGCCGTCGATGAGGTGAACTGGATGTCCTGGAGTCCAACATGCTTGAATCGAGGATCTTCACTGGGAGGGCCCATGAGGCTCTGATGCATTGGCTGCTGGATATATGAAGAGGGCTTGGGAGCTGACAGCATGTCTTTGCTGGGATGACTGGTCTGCCACGAAGAACCGTAATATGTCGTCGTGGGCAGCCCATGCTCGAGGAAATCGAAGGGCGTTGAGTCGCGGCTGCCCCAGCGATTGCTGTCGACCTCAGACGTGCCTACGGCACGAACTTGGAGGAACGCCGGGCTAGATCCAGAGGTCATCTCGCCACCATCTACGGTCAGCTGGTCGTCATCCGTTTCAGATCGTTTCTTCTTTTCCTTTGAAGGAGAGAACTTGTACCCTGGATGTGCTTTGAGATGGTTGGTCTTTTCGACGTTCGCTAGAAGCTCATACTTCTCGCGAATCTCGGGCGTTTCGATGCGCCAGCTGTCGCCTGCGACCTCTGAAACAACTTGGTGGTTATTCTGTGCAAACCACTCCTTGGTCCGATCGGCATATGCAGACCGGTAGAGCATGAACGAGTTCATGGGTCTGGCGACTTTGCCATTCTTTTTGGCAACCTCCGCGTGACGCACCTCCTTGGGCCGCTGAACCCAGCTGTCCATGTCTCTGAGGGGAACATGTGTCATATGCTTGGTAACCTCACTTAAGGGACCAGGTAGCTTAGGTTTCGATTCCCGATTGCTCGTCTTCTTGGTTCTGCGCCTAATTCTGGGGGGTTTAACCACTCTTACTTTCCCTGGGGAAAGCTTCAAGGCTGATGAAGATGGCCAGCGAGGAGGATTTGCTTCTAATCTGCTAGGAACAACTCCATCTTCCGCCGCAGGGGGCGGAGTATTGATCTGAATACCTGAGGGTACCATCTGCCGTTTGTTAGCACATGCTTGGCTAGCTAAACGTGTCATTGAGAACGGGAGCGGGAACCCTACCGAATGCTGAAATGGTAGAGGTGTTGAGTACTCGTGCTGGGAGACATATCTCGGTGACGACGAAGGGCCATAGGTCTGATTAACGGTCAGTAGGTAACCAACAAGCTGGAAAAGGCTTCCAACTCACCGTCGCTTGTGGCTTAAGCTCGCTGTAAGAAGCTTCAGCGCTGCAGGGTAAGCTAGATGTGACAAAGGGGTTCTGGGAGCAATATAGTGAGCTGAGAATGCCGCACTGTTCAGAAGCGGGATCTCCATCTGTCGACTGAGGGGGAGAAGGAGGTTGGATGAATTTCGCAGTCACAGCTGCTGCAGCCATTGCGGTAGCAGATCAGAGGTGACGATGTTACAGAGATGCTGGGAGGAAAGGTCGCGAGATAGTGGAAATATGCGTCTTTAGGACGCAGTGGGAGTGTTTGTAGGACTTCCGTCAGCAGATCAGGTGCTTGAAAGGAGATCTGGAATTGTCCCCTTTCTGACTCTTGTGCGAAGGTTAAGACAGTCCGACTGTGAAAATGATACCCCCTTTACTTGGACAAGCGGGGGAAACAATCTGGCGAGCCGGAGAGAGAAGACACCCGAGAAGGTGAATGGAATGACAAGAACTTTCTGATTAGGTAGAGGATGCTTGAGAGGCAAGTTGAGCATTTGAGGCTCCAGTGAATTGATGCCCCACAGCAACAGAGACCCCGACGAGAAGATTGAACGCTGTACCACTGGAAATCAGCGCTCAAGAGTAGAAGGAGGCGGGATAGATGAGACCAAGAAAAAGAGAAGAGGAAGGATAGAGGACGGATATGAAGGATATCTTATGAAAGATATTCAGCAAACAGAATGGAAGGAGGGATCAATTGGAAGAGAGGACTGATTGATTGACAGACTGATTGATCAGGGTATGGGGATGTGAACAAGAAGGTGAATCTCAAGAGCCTCGTCGATCTTTTTTAATATTTTAATGTCTGATCTGTGGATAATAGTGGAGAGTATTATGGTTCTTCCATGCATCGTGACTGCAGACCTAGAGGGCCAGACAGACACAGACATCAGTCAGTCAGGAACTCCTTGCTGGTGCACTGCACTCCAGTAGGCTGAGGCCCTGAGTCAATGGCGGTGTTGCACCTGCTCTGGGCGCTGTCTTTGTTCCACTGTGCTGGGACGAGAGGAGACCGGGGATTGCCATTAATATTATCAGGTCTTATTCCTATTCTTTTCTAGTGTGCCCTTTGACGGCTTGAACTAAACATACGCCAGTGGATGCTCCTCCCAAAGAATCAAAAAAAGAAAATAAAAATCAGAAAATAATAAATTATTATTATAACAAAAGAGACAGAGAGGGGAAATGCGCCCCTCCTTTGTGCCAATTCTAGATACAGATGCTTGGAACTGCTTCTAGATCCCTTGTTAGTGAATCAGTACGGGACTGAGTGGCTAGAGTGGGTGTAGGTAGTGCAGTGTGGATGGAACTATCCATGGGTCATGATTTGATAGAAGTTGAATAATTCTAATATCAAGGACAAGAGAGAGGAAGATCCAAAGAAGAATCTAATTTCAGGCTCAAAGACATGATTCTGTTATGAACACTCTTCTGTCTATCTAGTTGGACTGTTCAATGTTCAGGCATTATCACGCATGGCCGGGAAGATCCTTAAAGGGCTCTAGCTCCAGATTTACCTGTCATAGAAACTGTTTAATGGTAAGAAAAGGGACGTCTTTTAAATTAACTATAGGAAACTGACAGTACTTTAGTAAAGGATCTATCAGTCTCGAGACGGAGGGAAGAGGAAAAAAAGAAAAGAATCTCCCAAAAAGTAAAAATGATCTAAGTTGACTGGTACATACTTACATAACCTACAGTAGATGTCGTCAATACTTCACTATCCTGAAGTATCAAACAGTGGTCAGTCGTAAGAGTTGAGCCATAGTACATACCGGGCACCAACTATCTCTCCACGACTTGACTTACGATCCAAAGTGATAGCGTGAGACACTACGGGGTATGTACGTGACAAATCTAGACCATATGTATGATACAGGGTCTCATGATTTGCTTAGGAAGTACAGAAGGGGGGGAAGACATCTCCACTCTCCGCGGAGACACAGAGTACCTATGTACTGATCATGATATCAGGACCGATGTTCCATGGTTCTGAGGATATAAAAACTGCATATCATTGGAATTCGGGGGTGATATTTCAAATATAACATGAGGCGCTTATTTTACCTACTTCCTAGCTTCAAAGAATCCCTCCCATCGAAAAGGTATATGGTGAAGAGACATCAGGACTCGCCCATGGAACTGCACGTTTTCCACATGGCTTTTTGGGACCTTCATGACTTCCAGCAAATCATCCAGTCTGAACTAGTTGTGATAATGTACGTATTCTCAAGAGGACCATGAACATCTCCCAGTAGTCAACCTAA